TTTTTTTTACTGCTTAACGAAGAAATCGCACATTTTATAAAATGAAAATGTGAAATTAACTTCCTTATTTTGTAACTTAATTTTCTGAGGAGTAAACTGAAACGTTTGCTGAGCCCGCAACACTAGTGATGAAAGACAACTGCACATGTGAATGTCTTATGTAACAATATCATCAGCGAATACGACGTCGTGCTGTCGATGTGCGAAATTACCTTTAAATTAAAACACAGGTTTAATGTCTAAACTTACTAAGTATTTTTCAAATGATATGAAACAGTGCTAAGTCATTGACAACTCTAAACAGAAAAGGGAATTCGTATTCAACTATCTTTTAATCTGAAGCAGCCTTTTCTGAAGACCACAGGTTCGCCAATCACCAGATCGTAGTCCGTTTTGAAAAGAATATAGAAGGATTAAATACGAAGATAAGTATTAATAATGTTACATTGCAAATCCCAGATATAGCGCACCCTGCAGCAGATACCAATACGTATAAGTTTTTCAAAGAACAATCATGATTTCTTTGAACTCGGAGAGCCATTCTAGGTATCTCAAGCAGTTTAAGGCCTGGGTCAAAGAGTTTTACAGGTAAAAATAATTTATCATTTAAAGTAAGCTTTTCAACAAAAACGCGTTTTAGATGCAGGTCAATTATTTCTATCCTTCTCACGTTTGGAATGACCGGCCCAGTTTTAACAGAAAAATGTTCTAAGGTCAAAGGTCAGTTTTTTCAAGAAAATCTGACTTTTGATCATTTATATTTTTTAAAAACGAAATTAAGACAGATCATTCCAAAAGTAGCAAGGTAGATAATGCAACAAATACTAACAAAATGATCACGTGGCATGTCAATTTGCATTATTTTATTGCTGTGATGTCAGGCCCGGCTGTTAAGTTATTTTCCTTCTTATCACGTATACCGCATTTACTGATCCAGACAAAGTCTCCGGCTTAACACCAGTTTGATCGAACGTTTTGCGCTCGATCTTTAGGTGTTTAGGTTTGTGCTCGACAGCAGACTGAAACAGAATGGACGTCCCTGGACGTCCTTTCTTTATTTATTTATTCAACTTTGCCTGACTAAAATACTTAAATGAATAAAATGTTTATTAGGCAGGGAGAACACTTTACGCACAGAGATAATGGATCCAAATAGCGAAGAACATAGGAAGTTTGGACAGCCAACCAGAGCACATGAATAGGATAAGTGACTTGCTTGCATAGCCGATCAGAGCACACAAAAAAGGATCATTCACTTGTATACTAATATACCCTGGAACCCCGCCTTACGGCCACACGTTAATATGGCCACCTTGTTATATATTACGGCGAGATTCTTTTGGCCCGTTGGTGACCAGATTAAGAGGGGTTCCACTGGGTTAGTGTCGGCCAGTGAGTTGGCGAAGACGATTCCACCAAACATTCACAGTGGGTAGCTGATTTATAGTTGAATTTCGGTCTAGCTAATGTGGCCACGACACCCAAATTGGCGGCTGATTTTCTGCTATGACACTGTCAGCAGTGAGTATTTATCTAATATGAAAGTTATTTACCAGTTAGCCAATTGTCGAACGAAAATGATGTATTCAAGTTTACAGTTTTTCTATTCATATCTCGCTAGGCGGAACTAGCTCATCTCGAATATGAATGTTTACTTTTATCTGGTAACAATAACCGTATTTTCGTCGACACCAGGAAGAAGTGACCATGAACTCTCGAAAGGTATGTTTTTGGGGTAACTAGAAGATAGTTTAAAAGCAATAACATGTATTATTACCCGACTATGTTATTTCAGAGGGCCAATAACTAAAACTAGCCAATCAGACTGCTCCATTGCCGGTCCAATTTTCGTGAAAATACTGTTATTTATGATAAAATAGACGGAAAATATAAAATTGAAGTAGAGGAATTTTTATACTTTTTTGTAGTCTCGAATATATCGTTCTTTATTTTCTTTGTTTTCCTAGTAACTTCCTTTCCACAAGGTGAACAGTGAGTTGCATTGTGTAAGGTCGGTCAAATGCAGGTGTTAGGATTGGTGATGTCCAATCTTACTAAATTCAATTGATACCTTTCAAATCATATTGTGGGTGTGGCTTGAAATCTATTTCACCCCTTAGAGATACCAAATAATTCTGAAACAATACATTATCTCCTGTCATATTTTTCCGGCTCAATACCCTAAAAGGTACTGCGAAAACTCCCGCTGTGGACCTTTTTAGGCCTAATGGTTCCGTAAAAAACCAAACAGACAATCTAACTGGGNTGCGCGCGGATCCCAAGACTTACGGTCTCCGTCCCCGATTATGGCTCCTGGTCTTTAACCAATATAATCTTGACGGAAAAATTTCACAACATTCGGTTAAAACTCAATGGAGATATCGTGTTTGAAACATTGGTGATCTGTCTATTTGCTCTTTTTGAGAAATAAGGCTTTAAAGTCTTACGTCGGTCTCCGAGAACCCAAATTAGTCTTGTGAACCGGGGGGTAGAGGCAGGGGGAGGGGCTATATCGAAAGGTTTTACATAAATGTTCCATTGATCCGCATGAATACACACCCGCCGTAGAAATGTTAACCAACCATAAGGGGTGTATAAGATAGTAGAGAAAACGTAACAATGTTCATGTTCAGGACCATGATGCAAAATTCTCATAAGAAATGGTTCCGTAAAAACCCAAGCAGACAATCTAACTGGGCTACACCAATCGTATAATTTATTCCAGGATTCAAGATTATTCGATTTCTTTGACGATGTCCAATCAGATTGTTTTACGGTTTGTCCAGGTCAGGAAACAGATAAACAGATTTGAAAACAGCAGAAAACGGGTCAGCAAAACAGGTCAGCAACGAACGTGTTCACAGTGGAAATATCTGTGACAAAAACTAACTTATCCAAGCTCAAAGGTCAATTGACCGTATCGGTTACGCGGCTAAATGTCAATCAAACGGTATTTACGAAATCAAACGTCAATCAAATGTTAATTGTTCATATATTAACGGAACAAGTACACATCCAACCTCGTTCCCAGGGTCTCTCATCGCTCCAGGGGGCGGTAAGATGAGAGACCCTGGGAACGAGGTTGGTACACATCTCTAAAGATTCCTGTGAAGTATCATTAAAAAATGTACTGAGTTGAATCCATTCTGTACGTGCAGTGAAACCCCGCTCTACGGACATCCGCTTATAAAGGACAGTTTTCTTTGTCCCGACAATTAAAAGCTCATATATTTTCTCTTAAATTAGCCCGCTTAATACGGGCACCCGGATAATGCGGACACTTTATCATGTCCCTTTTCTGTCCATTTTAACGGAGTCCCACAGTACTTTTGGACTGTAAACAACCGTTGCTATGGGTGTTGCTATGTTGAAATATAGCTACAAGTGTGCGGATTTATTAATCAACGAGCAATTAGAACAAAATCGTTTCGAAATACGTTTTGCAAATGGTCAGACACGCTGAATTTTCATGTTTCGTAAAAATGGCTCTTTGAAGTAAAATGCGAGTTGAGGGTCGCTGCTTCCGAGATTTACAGCAACCTTCAGTTCGAGATTTTTTGCGACTTTTACGGAGGTCGCTGATTTCGGCACTAAAAGGTTTTCCTTTATTCGCCGTTTATAAGAGCAAAAGGAAGGCAAACATATAAATCACCTTTCAGTTTAAAAAAATAAGGGAATAGAGTAATAGTTACAAAGGAAGTCACGCGGATCACGCATCGTTATTTCATTCCGATGCTATTATTTTTGTTTTTTCAACAACTTACCACTTGGCATAAAAAGTATTTATCATGTTAACCTTTTGTGCCGGTGACAAGCAAGTTATTATGTACAGTGAAACTTGTATTAAGCGGACCGCGGACACCCTCTATTAAATGGACACCAGCTTGAGTCCCTAAATTTTCTTCCCACATTTACTGTAAAACAGACCTGCATTCAGCGAACACCTCTATTAAGCGGGGCGCGGACACCAATATTAAACAATTTTGTTGGACAAAACCTGCATTAACCGGACACTTCAAGGGCTTTTTACTTCTAAGAGCGGTTTTAGACATTGTTCAGCGAGCCGATGTCGTTTTAAAGCTAAGTAGGATATTCTAAATTAATGCATTGACTGACGCGCAGGGGGAAAGATCGCAAGTTAAGTTATGCATTGACATGAGATGAAATGTCGTTATCATTCAGTAAACGTGACGATTTCAAAAGGGTTAATAATTACCTATTGTTGTACAATTTTCGGAACCTGTTTTAAGAAAACACCCTGTATTAAGCGGACTTTAGCAAGGGTCCCAAGGGTGTCCGCTCAATGCAGGTTTCACTGTAGTAAGATGCATTGGCCTACATATCGTACACGTTAAGCCGGCTATCTCGGTATACTAGAACAGAAGACACGACCCTCCGGGCCTCGATCGAGTAGTACGTGGCCTATTCCCCGGCCCCTCCCCGGAACTTACGACCCTTGGTAAGTGAGGACCTGTGACCCTCCAAAATTAGGGCGACAGTAAAGTGCTGCTGCTAACCTCAAAGTAACGGAGATTGTAACCCTTAATTTGGCAACCTTTCGGTATTACATGCGCAGCAATGGACGGATGTTTCAACCGGTACAGCACGGCAGTGATCTACGGGATCTCGACTAGCTGCGAAGTAATTAACTTCCTAAACGAAATATTGGTTCAAACTCTCTTCCACTGCCTGCAGACCATTATCTGGGGAAGTACAGGGCGGTTGTTGAAGTAAAGAAATAAAGATGCGGCGCCTTTGACCGCGTCGGTTCAGACGTCTCAGCTGATGGGTTACAAGCAAGTACAAAGCTTTCAAGAGCAGTTACCGCGATGAAAAGCCGCAATTCCATCCAATCAACTAGTTTTCTTTGCTTTGAACAATCACTATTAGGATGACACACGCGCGTCGAACCTTAGCTACTGTGGCCAACTGCAGGTCTTACTGCAAAGCGATAACCCCTGGCCCCCCCCCCCTGTCATTCACTTCCGCAAACAACGATAGTCAATAAGTAGTCATATTTAATGAATATTTCAACCAACTATGTTCAAAATTGTGTACGAATATGTACAATGTTACTTGGATGATGCAGATGAATGTATTTCTACAATCTTGTCGCAAGGAATCAAACATCAACATCACGATTTATAAATACCGTAAGTAGGAACCGTTCTTACTTAGTGCTGTATCGCACAGGGCTGTACTATTAGCAAAAAGTAATTCGTCCAAACTCTCTTTTTTACATGATACCACTACATCTCGAGACACCTTGTTTCACCTGTCTTTCGTAATGGGAGCAACATCAACCTAGCCGCATACTGGCCAGACAACGCCCCTCCACAGGGTTATGAAGCTTAAATTTAAACTCTGCCCACCTTGCACAGCTAAGATTTAGCAGTTAAGCGAGGGTTTATGGTTAGTTACGAGCGAATCCGTTTGGAAAAATACCCGAGACTCAAAAGGTAACCGCAATCTGCTATACCATTATACGTAACTTCTTCTCAGCCCTTTGAATAGCCGTTTTCAATTTCCTAACTTGCGCTTTCAAAGTAGCGTTCTCCTTCTCTAACGCGGCAGTTTTTTTCGCGGTTTCGATTTCGCGCGCTCGTTTAGCTTCACGAGATCGTTTAGCCGCTAAATTGTTCCGTTTTCGCCTCTCCCAGTACTTGAGATCTTTACTCGACTTTGAGTTCTTTGAGAGGCGAGATTTCTTAGCTGATCTGCAACTAGGTTTAAATTCTTCATCATCGTCTTCACTTCGCTCGACATTCTCGTCCATTCCATTGTCATCGGACTCAGCTTTTTTACCGGCTTCATCCGACGATTTAAAATAATCATGATCGGCATAAACGTTTTTAACTCTTTTCCGAAGTTGACGTTTGCATGTTTCTCGCTCGGAGTCTTCCGGACAACTTTCTTCGGCGACCGTCGTATTCTCGCTCGTGGATGACATCGTGCATGTCGCGCGGTTCGCTACAGCTTCGGCCAGCGCTCCGTCTGGGTCATTGTCATCCTGACGCGATTGAATTGTTCTTTCGTCCATCATTTTACGGGTAACAGATGGATTAAGCATCCTGTCCATTAGCTCACATTGTTCGCCAAAATCGCAACCATCAGAGAAGGAAATACCGTCAAACATGTCCTCCTTCAGTTGTTCTAATGTGGCTTGGTTACTAGCCCAAAGTTCATCGTCAGTTTCCTCTTTTATTTTTATATGGGTGTACAACTTTGACGGGAGTTCGTCGCCAAAAAGACATGTACTCAGCGAGCCGAAGAGATTTGACTGTAGGCTTTCTTCGAAATCAAAAAGCTGGGAGGCTGAGTCGTAGTCTCCTGACTGTGGGCTAGACGGGGAAGAACTCAACCCGCTGTCATCTTCGTGATCGAAATTGAAGACATCCTTATCTGAGAATAACATATAGAGTACAAGTTAATATTGCCTATCACTAATGATCATAATTGGCCTGGCCTGGCAGATATTCAGTGTCAGCACTTTGGTCAGGTTTCCAAGACAAGGAAGTTAGGCCCTTTATCACCCCTCCCCGTCCCCCAAGGAAAATAGCACGTGATTGTCCTACTTTCTAATATAACATTGACACTAGTGATAAGAGGGAGGGGGAGGGAATACATGTTTTGAGAATGTCAGTATCTCTGCAGAAATTAGTTGCTAAACGCAACTTTAGAAATGTGGTGCACTCTAAAAGCAGATTTAGCAATCGGTCCGAAACGAACAAATTTAGGAAAACTTCAATGCTCATTTGCTCTGATTACAAGGCGCAATTCAAACGTAACTGTAATTCACGGAGTTCGTAAATCTGATGAAACAATGGCCAGCGGACATATCCCCGCGATTCACTGAGACAATTATTTCCTTGTCAGCCTAGAGAATTTACTGGCAGATGGTGTACTTAACAGAAAATTGTTTCTTCAAGGGAAATCACTCTCGGAAGTGATCGCCATATGACTCATTCAAAACATTTGAGATGTCACTGGCCACGCTGACCGGCCGGCATGGGTGTACAAATTTACACCGCACAGAAATACTAGTGTTTAGAAAATAAAATTACAACTCTTACCGGAAGCGAGAAACGTTTCTATACCAGCTGCAGATATCAACTCCATTCGCTTTAGCTAATTTTCCTGTATATCCAACAAATAAGTCTCACAACGTTACCGTGCTGTAGCTTGTAATGTGTTCTGATCGAACTGGTGACACCACATTCGCCGATCGTATATTTACCAAAGCAGCACACGTGCGTTTGTGTATACTGGAGTGTGAGCCTGTTATAAAATCGGAAGTCAAATTTGTGTTGATTTACATGATGTCTTACGTAACGAGAAATGTGATTGGTTCTGGTCAGTGAAGTCACGTTAAACCTCACGTTTATTGTTCTGCCAGTTAAACGTAGAGTCACATTGCAAATTTATGCATAAAAATATCACGCAGAAAAACACGTGTATCTTAATGACGGTGGCTTCCGAACGGGTGACTTGGCATGGATTAGCGAAACCTACCCGACCCTGTAGAAAGGTTTGTGACTAAAGCAAAATCGGATGAACTACTTCAGTAAACTTTGGCGGTCGATAACTCAGTCCAAAGGTGGAAATAGCTTTGTTTAAGTCTTAAAATCTCAAGATACATTCCGTGCCTTATTTGATTATATAATGCGCCGTGGCGGGTAGTTGCTTATGCAATTTAGGTACGGACACACGACTGTTCTCGTGTTTCGAGGCCGAAATGAGTGATCCAGGGATAGCTTGTTTTAAGAACACAAATGTGAGAAAAGTATTAAATTTTGAGGAATGTAACCGTTGGTCTTAAAATTACGCTTCAAACTGCGCTGTATCAGTTGTTTGAGGTTCACACAGGTGAATTATCACCGAACTCTCGACCGGGGAAGAATCCTGTTTTCAACAACGGACTAACACAGCGGTAAACTGAAGTATATTTTTATAACGCCGGGAACCCTCCAGACCGATCTGCTACGGGCCTGTAAGAATCCAATCGTGATAACGTTTGATATCCTGAGAGGGGTAATTTTCAAATTTCTTTCTTTTTTTCTCTTTTCTTCTGACATGTGGCTTGGACCTAGATAATTGTGATGAATTCGCCGGTCTTGTAAACTCATCTAATTTGGATGAATTTCCAGCAAATCAGCAATATAGTTTGGGATTTGCATGTCGTATGGTGCGAATCCAGCGCATTTCACAAATAGAAACCACCGCTCGAGTACAGATAGTCATGTAAAGTTAAACTACCTGGTTTCTTTCCCCTACTCGCTGTTTTCGTACTGTGCTGCTCAAAAACCCTGGACAAGCCACTGAGGTGAATGTTAACGACAACAAGCTTATGTGGAAAGGCTCGTTAGCTTGTTCACCGCGTTTCTTTTCGTTTCATTCCCTTGCATAAAAAGGCCCACAGAAGAGTACTCATAGATACAACCCGGCCCGGTCAATGTAAACTCGAATTCGCACACTAGTTGGTTGAGAACAATAGGTCCACCAAGAAAGTGAATCGTGGAAAATGAGGTCGATTTGTGAAATGATTGCAAACATACTGCGTTCTCGTGGACAAAGCTTGAAGGAATCAGTATTCGTCTTACGGGTTTTTGGTTATGTTTCTTCTCAATCATCTTTATTACATTTAATCTCATTTCTATAATTCCAGATTTTTATGCGCTATACTCTAAGACCAGTTGTGTTACTGGCAACTTTTCCCTTGCAACTTGTCGCGCAAAAAAATAATGTAGACTTGCAAGTTTTTAAGAGTTGTTGCGCTTGCTGCCACCCACTGCACCATGTCACAAATTGCGACAACAGGTTGTGCAAAGTTATACTCATATCGATTCGCGAGGTTTAAATGAAATCGAATGTGACACAGAATTTATTTTGGATTTTTAGACTGTTTTGAACCTTAGACAATGCTGTATCTATACCTCTGCCTTGAGTTATCAACTGCCATAAGTTTTATACTGAAGAAGTTGATGACATTTTCCCTTATATTTTAGCGAGAACAGGTTTTTTGTCCGTCACTCGATCGGAAGCAGCTATCAGTTATTACACACGTGTATCGAAGCGCAGATTTGGTTGTGCTTTTTACGCATAAATCTGCAACGTGCTCGCAACAATTTTCACGGAACAATAAACGTGAGTTCTATTACATGTGACTCAGTTCGTCGGAACGCAACTAATATACGGTATTTAGATTCCTCATTTTACTCTACCAAAAAGAGGATAATATGAGTCCTTATGGAGTGGTTTCTTCAAAATCTAATTTACATGAAAATCCAGTATTTAAATGACACTATAAATATAAATAACGCCAACCAAAGAAGTGGAAACGTTTTAGCACTTTTATCTCAGAAGATTATTAAACTCTGCAAATAATATCATTTGCCTGAGAGATATCATCGACAGCCTAGCGCCTTGCATTTTCTACCATTACAAAATAGAAATTGTTAATTTTGAAATGCTTTCATTTTACTTTGGTTTCATGTTATTAGTAGTTTAGACTTAACTTTCACCTGCTGAGGATGAATCAAGCAATATAGAAATGAATCAAAATTAACAATCAATCAACAATAGAGATAAATTCCTGCAAAATCCGGATTATTTTTTGAATGCAGTTCTGGGCTTCAATGCTACTCTCAGACAATTATTTTGTTTCGATTGTTAACTGAGAGAATTCTCGCGCGCTGATTGGTTGAGAACAAACAGAATTGAACTCGTATGTAATTCGCGAAAACCAAACAGAATCAAATGTAACGCAGAATTTATTTTGGATTCTTAGACGGCTTACAAGCTCTGTTTACCTCTGCCTTGACTTATCAATTGAACTGCCAACGTCTACTGAAGTAGTTCATGACGAGAGGCACGCTAAGTCACCTGACCGGAAGTTGCCATCAACCATTATGCACGTGTTCCGGATCCTACGCGTGTGTTTCTTGTGCAGAAATTTTGCGATGTGACCGCTGGCCGCTAAATTTTTTTACGGAACCAGAAACGTGAGTGTTAACGTGACTTCGATGAACGAAACTAAAATATGTTTGCTCGAGCAAAGAGAAATTTGCATATCGGGAGGGGGCTCTTCAACATCTGAAATTTATAAACAGAAACAGTCACCAAAAGAATGTACGTGAGAACTTTTTAGCGCTTTTGTCTATGCATAGGGAATATTTCATGGCGGCAGGAGGATATGAATTTTATTTTAAAGTCATAATAGAGGATATTACATGTCCGCGGGTGGATACGAATTTTATCTTCGAGTGTTCAACTCGATATCTCACGAGTGAGCGCAGCGAACGAGCGAGATGTTGAGTTGAGCACGAGAAGATAAAATTCGTATCCACAAGCTGGCATTTAATATTCTGTTTATTATAAATACTAATGACGACGTTTTTGACGATTTTCCGAAGATTTCCGACCACTTTCCGAAGATTTCCGAAGATTTTCCAAAATTGTTCCGAAGGCCAGACTAACTCTTCCGAACATTTTCCGCACATTTTCCGAAGATTGCCGACGACCGACGAAACATCCAAAATGTTATCAAAAAAAAAGGATTTAGCATTTTCTCCAACCGGCAAAGTTTCCTTCTAGTCTTTGACGATTTCTGTTGAACTTTGTGGTATGTTTTATTCTGATTTGCTTTAGTTTATTTTTTCACTTTCCGGTACATCTGTCGCCTTGCACTGATACACAGATGCTGTTAACTTAGTACGCGTGCCTTACTGGGAGAAAATCGGTCCGATTTATAGCCGACTTAGCGTTTATTAACGACCGATGTTTTCAAAAAGAAGGAAAACAAACCTAGTAGAAAAAGAACAAAAATCTTTTTCGTGTAAATTGATTCTTTTAACAAAGAAAGCCATACAAGAGGTCATTCGGTGTTGTGTATGGTCTGATATGGTACCCAGATCTCCCGCAGATAATGTTACTCGTGAATTACGGGACGGGACCACGACAGTAGAAAAATCACGACAGGACTTGATGGGTTTGTTTCCCCTCGTTTTGAGCTCCTGTAATATGAATGCTTCCTTTGTTTGTTGTTCTGGCATCGAAACACGAATAATACAATCGAAGCTCTCGTAATCGGACACTACAGAATTTGAAAAAGTGATCATAAATAGAGCTGATCCCTTACATGCATGAGATGGGTTCTCGTGAGAGACTTTCCACCGCAGTTGAAGTCAATTGAGATTGGCCGGTCTCTCTCTATAGAGCTTTAAGGTTAAGGCTAGGGATTTGTGAAAAAATCTGAATTATAGATTTTTGGAGTCTAGGATTTAGAATGAAGAAATTCTGGACAGACGAGCGTGTCAATGGCAAAGAGTGGTGTTGTTCATCTTAGACGACATCCTTACAGACTGTCTTCTGAGTTTCGTTACACTTCTAAACCGAAAAATTGACTTTGTCGACCAAGAGCTCATGCACGACACTTCAAAAGGAGATCAGAATCAGTATCGGTAGAGAATTATTAGTATTAAACAAGGCCGGTGAATACTTTTATCTAATTATAAGCGTGGCCATGTGGGAAGTGTCGTCGCATACAAGAGCATAAAACAAAAGGAAACTGAGAGAGGTTAGCAATTTCCAAATGAGATCAGTGTCGCTGACAACTTTTAATTGCAATATCCAAATAACAGATCAGAAGGGGTTTCATAATGGTGGACGTAATAGGCCACGATCGATATATCAATATTCTGACATGGCTATACGAGGCTTTCAGGGCAAACTTCTATATTTGGTGTTGTTTTCTTTGTTTCCAAGTCTCTTTTGGGAATATTGTGAGACAAAAGAAACTTAAAAAATTTGCAATTTTGACCCGAAAGCCTCGGATCCGTGTTAGAATATTGATATATCGCTCGTGGCTCATTCAGAGAGCGGAGATTTTGATCAAGTTGCGCAAACTTAGTACCGTCTTAAATTTCTTGTATCAAATAACTTTTCTTCTCAGCTTTGACCACTCAGTGAAGCGTGCGAAATCTTTAATAAAATCATTCGCCTACATACGTATTACATACCTCGTTTTCAAGGCAAATAAACAAGTATTGAGAGCTGTACTCTGGGGAAACACTTCATTTGTTTTAAGAGGTGTTTTACTTCCTTTGAATCTGGTTCAATCAGTCCTATTTACAACTACAAAATCCTTTTTCTTTACGATTAAATTATGCATATGCACGACCGCCAATGAATCATGAGAAAAACAAAGTAAACGCAGTGCTTTTGTGCCATATATCTGCCATCGGTTCAAATTAAAACACTTGCTTTCCGACACAAGCTCGCACCGGATACACGAATAACAGCTGTATGCAGAACGACTGAAAATGGCCGCTCCAAATTCTTTTCCAGGTAGAGTTTACTTTCTATTAGTTTTAAGTAAGACGTTCTTTTTCTGAGTAGCTCAGACCTTCCATATTTTAGCTCTTGCACACTAAGCCATAGCATACTGGCACGCCTTAATACTGAATTAACGTGAAACGTTCTTCCTATAAGCGAACCAAGCACGGGTCAAAGGAACTTGCCAAAATTTCCATTTCTTAGTGGCTGGTGGTTTAAGAAATTGACTTATTTCAATTTAAACCACCGTGTAGCTCGTACAAAGTGCCGGTAAGGTCTTGCATGAATTAAAAGTCCGCCGCTTTAAAGGTCCAATTTATTGTCTGCGGACAGTGGATGTCGAAAGCACGCTATGAGAGGGAATCGAACTTTCCTTTCTCTGGAGTATCACTGATGGTGTGGAATCCAAAACCACACTTGTTTATTATTACTTATACTCATTTTTTCTAGCAGAAAGAGGCACCAAAATCTAGTGGAATTAATTGAAGTATATTTCTGAAGTCATTGTACTATTTAAATTAATCCATTGGAATTGAGTGGGTGGATTCTTAAAACTATAAAAAACATTTTCATTCTAAAACGCTCGTATCTTTGCCGCCTTCAGACTATCCACATCTATCGTCTAACAGACAAAGTTCAAGTTCTTTCTGAGTTTCAAAGGGTTTTCTGAATCTGTCTTCTCAGCCGATGTTCTGTACAATCCATTTGCCTAAATGTTCCAATGTAATTTTAAATTATTCAATATGTTCAGTTTTATTTTTTTACGCATCACTTGCCAGTAATAAAAGCAACCAGAAATAAAAGAAAGTCTGCATTCCGACGGCAACTTGTTCGCGCCTTACAAACGACATGGATGATTAGATTCTAAAGGAAAGAATTGTTTTGCTCCGTTTCGTGAGCAATTCGCTTGAGATTAATATAAATGAGAAGCCTACGTTTCGAGCTCTTCACTTAATGTGTGATGGTCATCAATGGAAAATGAACAACCACAAAACATGCTAAACTTATAGTTCATTGAATTGAGAGCTAATCAGAACTGATAGGATGAGGTAATAAGAAACAATAGGAACTATTGTTGGCATTCAATACCGTACCCGAGTCAATACGATGTAAATTATTAAGGGGCCAAGTGACTGTATAAATTTGTTTGAGAGCCTTACCTCTGCCCCAAGTCCCTTGGTCATCCGTGTTGTCTCCGCCAGAAGTAGAACGGCGGCTCGAATTTTAACGACGTAAAACTATGCCTTCACGAAGAAACTCTGACCTCCAATAATATCCCTGGACTAATGTTTTGCAAACAATTTTCAATTTTCTTGTAGGCTTATTTTCTGGGAGGGGGGGGGGGGGGGGGGGGGGGGGGGGGCTTTTAAAGGGGCGCAGGGAACTTTTCAGAACGGTAGTAACTTCGTGTTTTAAAAGTGTTTAAGTTTCTCTGTTTGAAAAGGATGTTGCGTCTGAAAACTTTTTCTTGCGTGCAGGAATGGTGCATGGTAAAACTAGCTTCTATCATAGTGGTGAAAGCGAAAACTGGAGTCAAAACTTAAGATCAGACAAAAGAGGGGCTGTCTGTTCATCAAAAACTGGTAAAATTCAGGCTTCCAATTTCGCGGCAGTTAACTTTGTTTATGTGAACATCCATTTTGAGCCCTTTATTTCTTCGCGCGCTAGACACGTCTGGTCAGGGTGTAGACACGCGTGGCCAGCAAGTTGACCAAGCGTTAACCCGCGATCAGGCGTCGTTTTTTTAAAGGGAAATGTGAGGATGTAGGGAGGGGAGGGAGGGTATGACCACAGATTAATCACATACATTTCTTTCTCAATTCGCCCACAAGCACAAACATCAAGTCTCTTCTTGGCGGGGCAAGGTCATGTGATCCCCGGAATGAATAGAATTGATCAACAACTCAAGGAAACGATAACCTCTCCCCGACTCAGTAATGGTATAATTTGTAAGATGTGCCACATTAATTGATTATTTTTGCCTTAATAGGCTTGGAGAATTTTCGTCTGAGTCCGCAATTGACCGAAAGTGTATCAAGCAGCTCCCCCTGTTCGGTGGTGTTTTCAGATGACGGGAAGGATGGTTTCGGTCAGGAACACTTTGATTTCCAGTTGACCCCTGAATTAACCAGGCTTGACATGGTCTCATCTGCTTTGGAGTGGTTAGAAAATCTAGAATCATGTCATCAGATGCGATCGCACTCACCACGATTGAGCAGTCAAAATGATTCATTCCAAGAACCTCCGCACAATATGACATACACGAACTCAAATGAGGAATTTGATGTCAGTGCCGCTATTGCTTTCTGTAATCCCGCTGCTCCAAAAAACGTTCTGTTTCCTCAACCTGAAGTTGTCACCGGCTCCGGAAGCAATTTTCCTCATTGCGTACCACAGCAGAAGGCGAGAAGCCCGGATTCTGTTCATTGCCTTGTTCCTCAATATACGGGTTCTGACAAGGAATGGAAACGAGAGAGGTATGCTGTCCCGGATGAGTGCAAGGACGAGAGGTACTGGAGAAAGCGTTCCAGAAACAACATGTCGGCGAAGAAATCCCGAGAAGCTAAGCGCGCCAAAGATCTCTTAATCGCAAGAAAGATAGATGAATTGGAAAAAGAAAACGCCGCGTTAAAAATGTTGCTTAGAAACTTAATGCTGCAACAGCCACAACATAACAACAATGGCATATGTTTCTGTGGGAATAAATTAATTTAGTACATTATTACACCGTGCTAAATTTATAAGCTTATACAGTAGAAACACTGATACACATAAGAATAAACGCGTTTCGCGTTGAGTGAGATTCTTGACTGTCGCGCAAAGCGCACTGAGGAAACCGTTGTATGATGATTGGCGTCTTCTGTATTCAAGATCTTGGGTCAGTATATAGATCATTTACACTGTATTTCGAATTGAAGGAAAGCAAAAATTATGAAAAGTAAATAAGAGAAAGTTTGTAACTGTTATGGTCAAAGTGTTAATTTTTGTCACCGCGAAAGGTAATAAAATAAAACTGGCTGCGGATAAAATGTTTTGAACTGGGGAAATAAACGGAAATAAAGTTGCGCCAATTTGGTTCACTTCAGGAGAGAAATTGCTAGAGGCAAGAAAATATTTCCACTCGGGCAAATCCGGGAAACCAAAGGATGTTCAGTGTTGTGGCCGATCCCATGAGGCGGAACGCGCGGTCCCTCTTCTTCATGTCACGTTTTCTCATTTGATTTATTTCACCCTCCTTTTCGCTCATTTCCACGGCTAGAACCTCGTAAATAAGATCACAGTAGGACGCTAGCTTAAGTGGTTTACTCTGATTTTAAGACTCAGTGTTTTGTCTTTATTAACTTAACTTAACTTAATCCTCTCCGTACAAGGTAGTACATCTGTCCATATTTATAAAGGCTTCGTCTTTCCAGTCCAGTTGTGTGTATTGAATCTCTTTGTAGTTCACAGTTTTGTTTCTCTGGCAAATTTTCTTTGGTCAGGGAGAACACTAAGAAATATGTACAAACGACAGATCTATTATCCGGGGCACCTCAGCAAGCTAGAGACACGTGCTATCCGTGACTTTTTCTGAAACTTGTCTCGTCTTAGCCTGCATTGCAGGCGTAAACGGGGAAGGGGTAGGGAAGCAAAAAGAGGCGAAGAAGGGGAAGGAAGGCAGGCCTTTTTCCCTCTCTCCTACACCGTCTCCCTCGCTCCCCGCTCTCGCTCTCCCTCCTTCTCTCCCCCGTGTTACGCCTGCTACGCAGACTAGTCTCGTGTCTACTTGACTGAACTCTTCCACTATGACGACAAACCCTTGAAATTCAATTGTGTGCAAGACGAGTGACTTTACGGAATGACTGGCTCGTCATCGGACGAGGAATCTCCTGTGGTATCTCTTGTCAGCAGAGGAGTTGCCTCAGTCTTCTTTGTCTTTCCCATTGGTGTGGCTGTATCACGTTTGTTTCGCACGACTGTCCCTCTCACGGTATGTCCCACGCTCTGCACGTGCTGCACGATATCGTCACGCACGTCTGACACGTCCCACATGGAGACAAATGACGCACAACAAGGAGGAGGGGGTGAAGAGGGATCCACGTACGGCTTGTGTGAGAACACGTAGTAGTGAGCGATGGCAAAGATGAACATCTCAATGCACACCAGGAAATTCTGTTAAATCAATAAAAATGCGCTATTTCTCAAAACCGAAATGTTCAATGCAAAGTTGGTGGGATAAAAAATGATACCTGTTTAATCATTTCTAACTGATCAAAACTATATAAGGAAAATTTCAACAATGCTTCTGTCCACGAGACGGATCTAGCACACTTATCAATCCAGGCCATTACCTCATTGGTTAGGTTTTACAACCTTCATCCGGATGAAGTATCACACCTCCCTCACCCCCACCCCCTTCAAAAATTAATCGCGCTCAGTTTTATAGAGAAGGGTAAAAAATTTCAATTAAGGGAAACTCGAGAAATTTGGATGCTGGTGTAGTTACGGCAAACCTACACTAACCTGAATGCCATTGGCAACATCCTCCACAGTGTAAAACACCCAAGTATGTTTCTCTGATATAACTCCAACCTACAGAAGACAGGTATAAAAAATATCTTCCCTCCAGTTACAATTTTGAATGACGCTGCTCTTTGCGAGGCAGTTAGCCTGTTCTAGGTATTTGGATGGTTAGGGAGTGAAGCAAGAAATGGCGCGAATCAAGAAACGATAAGAGAGGAGTGCAGCAGACCAAGCTCTCTCCCTGTTTCTTCTCTTATATCTCATATCACTTCTTCCACCTTTCCCAATGACTAGAACAAGCTACGATGCTGTGGTTTTAGATGCTACACAATGCTCAGGTCTTTTGTGGTTTCTTTTCAGTGGTTGGTGAGCTTGTCCATCAATCAACTGTATTTCAGTAAACCAAGCTCTGAGATGCTTAACTTCCGTTGTTTCAATTTATTTTTATATGTTTAAGTGTTTTGACATTAAAATTTGGCATCATTACTAGAAAATGAAAATGCAACTTACCTTTACAAGGACAGCTATCAAGACTCCCTGCCTAACAAAGAAAACGATAACAGCAGTTAATACCAATGAGACAATAGTTTTATACTTAGACTATCTGTTGTTCTCAGGGTGGAAGAGTCAGTCTACTAGGGTGCAGGGATAAAAAGAGATGGTACATACCTGAGAGAAGGGATTAATGGGAGAGAGAGTGAACACTAAATGTGAGGGTCTTAACATGGAGGAGGGCTTAAAAGTTAGGGGCTCTAGTAGGGAAAAGGGTTCAATAAAACGGGGGCTTATTAAGGTCTGTTCATGATCAGGAAAATGAAGGGGTGCTTGAAAGTGTGCATGAATAAAATAAAAGGGGCTAAATATTTACATACTTCTGTTTGTATTTTGGAATGAAGAGAAATGCAATTACTCACCAGAATGATGCAAACACAACAAGTTTAATGCACAGAAACTTTCCGAAGGGGTTTAAGGGTTTAAGTTCATCATAAGCAGCCTTGTAAAACAAAACCAAGCAATACAATGCCCACTGAAAAAAAGGAGTTATAATTACATTAATTAGCACAACAGCCCCAGGTGAACCCTTCATGACTAGACTCATTGCCATCGAAACGCAGATGTAAAGGTAAAGTCTGCATACGAGCCAAGTGGCTCATCAGGTTGGAGCTTATCCTGGTTTCTGTAGCATGAAGGGACTAGGAATATTTCTACTCCCCCCTAGATGGGAAGCTAGTCCATCGCAGGGTTACCCCCAGCATTAAATTTGCTGGGACCCAGTTGTACACCTGGGTGAAGAGAGGCACCGTGACACAGAGTAAAGTGTATTGCCCAAGAACACAACACAATGTCCCAGGCCAGAGCTCGAACCTGGACTGCTTGATCTGGAGTCGAGCGCACTAACCACGAGACCACCACGCCTCCACATTGCCACAGCAAACAAGTTTTAAAAATGCACTAACGTACCACTTGTGAGCAGTTATTTATCACCACTATATAAGTCCATGCTGTTTTGAAGCTCAAATTTCCTTCATCATATTTCCCAGCTAGTTCTGTGCAGCTACGAAATCAAGAAACAGGAAAATGTTACTGAAAAAGTACACATTATCAACAGCTGCACTCTGGAATGATGTGAACAGTACTTACAAAGCAATGAAAGTGGTTATGATCCTGACAACTGTATAAGACAACACGCCTTGTTTACACCTGTCGATTATAGTTCTTGGGAGAAATAAGAAATATTCAATTTGACGATTGTTCCAAATTTCATAGACATACATGTGACAATGAATTGGCGTACATGTCTACAAGCATTCTCTGAGACTCAGAGGCAAATAGTCAGGTGGAGAGGAAGTGAAATGGGTGAAAATTTCATTAACACCACCTGTCCTGACTATCTGTCCCTGGGTCGTGAGGATGATCTTAACACCTTGATTGCTAATTCCAAAAGTAATAGGTCTTCACTACAATGCCACATTCTGAAATCCCAACCTGTATAATCCTCTATAAATTTACCCTGTTTATACGGCCACTTGAGCCAGTTATGTTCATTTTTCCAGTGTTAGCATTTCATAGATTGATTCAAGTTTCAACTTTGTAAAAATTATATCTGCATTCCAGATGCTTATTAAAGAACAGTTGTTTAGAAGTGAAAATTTGATATATCTGCTAAAACGTCATTCAATTAAGACCAGTGGTGAGGTTTGACCCCACACCATTAATATGGCCACTCCATTAACATGACCAAATTTTCATGACCTGCTGGTGAGCGTATTAATGGGTTTCCACTTTATAATATTACTGGTATCTGCCCAGGAGCTCTGTGAGAGATACTAACTGAATTAAAAAAAAAACAAACAAACAAAACAATCCATACTTGCCCATCCTCCATGGCGGCAAGGAACAACAAGGAAAGAAATGTTGTACTTGATGTTTGCCAGACAAAACCACTTCAAAGTCATATTCAACCGTGAGGTAAGCCAGCAAAAATGTCATAAAATTATAAATCACATAAGCCTCGTAGCACTCTCGTAGAGAATCCAAGTATATAGCAGCCTTGGGAAAACGAAGAGCAAGCCACTAGAAAGAGGAAAGGTAAAATAAGGAACTGATAGGTGCAATTGTCAAATATAAGTGTGCTGCTTTCATGAATTTTTAGGCCACATTGCTTATTACAACTCACCCTGGTAGGCCCACAGTATAGTATTTATGGAAATGACCTTTTACCAATGCCATTCAATATAAAAAAAAAAATGTATTGTTGGTATTTCCTCGGTCCATAGGTAAAAACATGTTTACTGCAAAAGGCAAAGAGCTAATACGTACACTATCTGTTGCATAAATTGGTACCATCCAAAGAATTCTGAAAACAAAACAATGAAAAATAAAAACATATAACATTGTACTTAACCTAAGATAATAAGCACTTTGGTCAGCCAAACTAACTCACTTAATTCAGTTAGCTAAAATAGCTTGCTTCCATAAGAGCTAGTAGAAAGAACAGACAAGCCAGTGCAGAAGATTACT